TACTACTACTACTTCTTCTTCTTCCTCTTCTTCTCCTTCTTCTTCTTTTGTTCTTCCTCTGCAAATCCACACGCCTGGTTGAGGCATTCGGTTGGAGGTTCGGATCTCGCGCTGGAGGAATTCCAGGTGTGGGACGGTCTGGGATTTGCAGACAAGGCTCCAGTGCCAAAAAGGACACCATCAGGAAGTACCCATAGCCTCATCAACGTATCCGCGGATTTGGGATCTAACCCCTAAACCGCACACTCTAAACCCTAACTTTTTAGATTGGCTCCGTGGTTGAGGGCCGGCAGAGTTTGGGGTGTGGGCTTTCAGTGAAACGTTGAGGATTCGGAGACGAATGGGATTCCCCTCGTGTTCGTGAGCGAGGGCCAGCGGCTAGCGGTTGAAGGGTTCGAAACTACCCTAAACCCTAAACCCTGAACCCTAAACCCTAAACTCTAAACCCCAAACCCAAACCCCGAACCCTAAACTCCTGAACTAAAACCCCAAGCCCTCAACTCCTAGACTTTGGGGTTGAGGGTTCAGGGTGTTAGCGTTTTGGGCTCTATAAGGGCTGTACGGACTTAGGACTTCGGGGCGGTAGGGCATCAGAGTTTTCCAGTTTTCCGTTGAAGCTCCAGGGTTTAGGGTTTAGGGGTTTAGGGGTTTAGGGGTTTAGGGGTTTAGGGTTTAGGGTTTCGGGCTTCAGGCTTTAAGGTTTAGGGTTTAGGGGCTTAGGGTTTAAGGCTTCAGGGCTTCAGGTTGTGCGCCGCTACGTCTGAAACTGAAACATTTAAGTTGTTCAAGCTCTGATTGCAAACCTTCGTTCATTCCTGAGCTGGAGCACGAACCCCTAAACTGCGAAATCGTGAAACAGAAACGTGCATTTCCAGGGTGCTGGGCCCATGGTCACAAAAAAGCCCCCGAGGCTGTTGAAGCATTCCGGCCCTGACGAGGCTGGTGCCAGGTCTATCGTACTCCGGTGAGTGCTGCAGCCTGGCAGTGGGGGTGTTTAAGGTTCAGGACTTAGGGTTTCGGATTAACGGTTTAGCATGTAGTTTTAGTTTTAGGGTTTAGGCTTTAGGCTTTAGGATTCGGGGTTTGGGGTTTGGAGCATGCGAGGTTTCGCGTTGGGTGTTGATGAGCAGTGTACACGCTTCTGGGGTTTTAGGGTTTCGGGCTTAGGGCTGTCCGCACTTCGGCACACTCTGAGTGGGCGTTGGTCAGGATCTGCAAAGCTTTCTTTGTTCAACCAAGACATCGTGACCGAATATTCCAGCTAGGGGTTTCAGGCCTTACCCCAAACCCTAAACCCTAAACCCTAAACCCTAAACCCTAAACCCTAACTTGCCCTAGACGTCCAAGCCAACACGGAACAGGCCCCAAGATCCCCAATCCGAAACATTACTTCAAATTCAGTCTTAGTATCGTAAGCATACAACCCAAAAACATCATAGCACTCAGATTCCCTGCAAAAAAAAATTAAGCGCTTAACTCCTATCATCAGAACCCAAAGGCACCCAAAATTTAAAGGGCCTAAGGCCTAGCTAAGTCCCAGCTCGTACAATTGCCTGAACCTAAACCCTAAACCCTAAACCCTAAACTTAAACATCAAACCAAACCCTAAACCCTCATCCCTGAACCCAGACCCGAAGCACAAAAGATAAGCTGGCCCTTGCCTGTGTGACGTGGTGGGACCCATAAGCAGGAAGTCGAGGACCTCGGCACGGCCCGTCGGGGGCCGTTGTCTTTAATATAAGGCCTGGGCACGTAAATTAGGGTCCCTCTTAGGGTTCCCCTTAGGGATTTATTATAAGGCTTCTACAGGATTTCTTTAAGGTTACTGCAAAGGTAGTTCTCTAGATTAGGATCCCTGTTGGTGTCCTTTCTATAAGCCGTAACATTTTGGGGAACTAAAAAGGGACCCCAATTTAGAGAATTACCCATATAGAAGCCTGGGTAAGTTAACTATGGGAGTTAAGGTTTAGGTTTGGGGTTTAGGGTTTGGGGTTTAAGGTTATTAATATAGAAGCCTGGGTGGACTGCAGATTAGGGTTTAGGGTGCATATGTTTGGGGTTTAGGGTTTAGGGCTTAGGGTATATCAGGGAACCCGAACGAGTGATGTTACTGGTTGTTCACAGCCTACATTACGGTCAAAGGCTCTGGAAGCATTTGGGGATCTGTGCACTCAAGACGCACGGCTTCGTCAAGGTTTGGAATTATGTTTGTGAGGTTCGAACTGAAATTCTACACCCGACACCCGATCCCAGACCTGATCAAAGAAGAATCCTTCGGTCGAGCGATGGAAAGGCCGCAGCTCCACCGGTGATCGCTGCAGCCACGATCCAGTCCTCGCAGGTAGCTCGTTAAGACTTAGACTCCACTTGTTTAAGGTTGCCGTTTAGGGTTTAGGGTTTTGGGGTTAGGGTTTAGGGTTTAGGGTTTAGGGTTTAGGGTTTAGGTGTTGTGGTTTGGGGTTGAGGGTTTAGATCTCAAGGCGAGGGCTTGAGGCTTTTAGAGCACTTGGGCCTTGCGGTCTACATCGTACCAACGAAGCCTCAGAAAGACAGCGGCTCTCCGTGACCTAGGGTTTTGGCCATCCGAAACCCTTGCCGCAGAAACTCTGCCCCCCAAAGGCCGCAAATCCTGAACTCTCAAACCCGAAATCTTAATCAGACTCCTCCCCCACCCAGCACTTCCCTCCATCGTCGGCTCCCCAACCCTCTAAGCCCTAAAAGCCCAAAACCCTAAAACCCTACACCCTGAACACCCTGAATTCAGCTCCAAGCCCCAACGCCGCTCCTGGAAGCTATAGCTTTTGCCGTCAATGAGGATGCCCCAAATCATGACCTTGGAAGGTGTGGGTCTTTGCTTCAAGGTTTGGTGGAGGTTGACTGAGTCTGGCTTTCCGGGTTCGGGGGTTGGGACCGTGACGGTGTGGTGTAGGGTTTAGGGGTTCAGGTTTAGGGTTTGGAGTTTTAGGGTTCAGGGCTTGTGATCTACGATTCAGGGTTTTCACAGTGGTTGCTAAGGTCCTAGGTCTAGGCCGCACAAACACTGGACACTAAACCTAGCTCCAAGAAGCAGGGATCGGCTTAATTTAAGGTTTGCAAGTCCCAGGTCACTCCACCGCATGCACGACAAGGATCCTACTTTTTAGGAGTGTATACAAGAATCCATGACTTTCTGAAACTCCCATGAAGGGACCCTTAAAGGTTACTAGTGGGATTCTGTAGAGCTTGAGGTTTTAGGGGCCTGAATAGTTAGAACAGGGACTCCTTTAACGGAAGCCTTGAGGCTCCGGCAGGTATCATCTTAAAGCTCTTCCCAAGCATCTGCACCGTGAAGGAGACGTACTTGAGAGCCTGCGGCAGACGGAATGGCAGCTGGCAAGTGCTGCTACGAAAGGCCCCGCCGGTTCCTAGACAACGACAAGAAGTGCCACCATGTGCAGTTGCTACCACGCCCACCCCCGCCCACCCCCGCCCACCAAACAAAACCAAAAACACACAAAATCTTCAAACCCTTAACCCCCAAACCCTCAACCTTCTCCAAGACCCTCTAACCCTAAACCCTAAACCAGCGTACTCACGGGGGCCTTCTTGCGGAACGCAGGAGGTGAAAGCTTGAAAGCTCAAAGCTTGAGGGCTTTGGGTTTAGGGCTTTGAGTAGGTCATGAGTGGAAAGCATACCATCAACTCCAAAATCTAAAATGCTTTTCAGCTCCTTGGGTTTAGGCCCGAGAGATATCACCCAAAATCTAAACCCTGACTTTTCGGTCTCCTGCGTTGAATTGAAGGCTTCGTGTTCCATGGACTTTGCGGACCATGGGAACATTCAGGTTGATTCGCAAAATAGTTGCTACCGGTCTGCCCCTGTCGTCCCCCCTTACTTGCAGCACAAGAAAGACTAGCCACTCTGGAGTTGCAGTAGGCTTGATACAGCAGGTTCCTGTAAGGAGGGCTGCAAAGTTTGTTTCCTTGCCACTGGGCTGCTACTAGGGCATTTTCCGACTGTATTCGTTCGGGTCTGTTCTGCCACTAGGGCTCCTCAACCCAAAACCCTGTATTTGCACGCTTAACCCTAAACCCGATACTGCCTGTACTTTCAAACGAGTTGAGGAGTCGCATCATACTGGTTCCTCTGCGCGGACTGCATGCATGATTTCATGGCCTAGTCCTTGCACTGGCACGAAGACGAAGAGACCCTCTCCAAGCCACTGACAATCTGAGCCATCCAAACAATCTGACCTCGTACTGGCAGCTGCTGGCGAAGACGTTGCTGAAGGAAACTATCGCCTGCAGAAGGGGTTATTAAGGCTGGTTTTGGGGGCTTAGGAGGCCGAAGATGGGGGATCTGGAGAAATAATAACTTTACTCCTCATCGCTTTCAAAACCTGTAAGCGCAATATATAGCTTCAACCTTCAAAACCCTGGATTCTGCACCCTCATGCAACCTCAAACCCAAACCCGGAATCCTTAACCCTTAACCCTCAGCTCAACGCTGCAAAACCCTGCAACCTCAACTCCAAAAGCAACAGCCTCAAACCCTTGAAGACAACCTGACAGGAACCCCTATAGGAACCCTAGATATCAACCAAAATATCCAAAAACCCCTATAGGAACCCTAGAATTCTACAAAAAATATCCAAAAAGCCCTATAGGAACCCTAGAATTCTGCAAAAAAATCTCCAAGAACCCCTATAGGAACCCTATGAAATTCTGCAAAAAAATCTCCAAAAAGCCCTTCAGGTCCCGAGCATACTTCCACACCGGCGCGCCGGACCGCAGGGGCTCCTGCGAAATGAAAACACGAGGCGTCATGATTTGGGGCTTAGGGCTTGGGGTTTAAGGTTTAGGGTTTAGGGTTTAGGGTTTAGGGCCTTGGGGTTTAGGGTTTAGCGTGTAGTGGCCTGAGGCATCGGGTTTAGGGATGTAGGGTTTAGGGCTTTAGGGTCTTATAAGCTCAGGGTGGGGCTCCTGTAAAGGTTGCTTGAGGGTTCCTGAAGGGGCTCCTTGATATTTCTACACGGGTGTAATGTAGGGTTAGAGGAAGCTGAAAAACCCTTGTGACAGAACGGAACTAGACACATCGTGGGCCGAAGCTGCTGAAATCTCAGCCCCAAACCTCAATTCCTCAGGGCCCAGTTTCAATACCACTTCAAAGTACTCGGTAGACCCAAACCCTAAACCCTAAATCCTAAACCCTAAACCCTAAACCCAAAGCACTCGGTAAACCCTTTACCCGGAACCCTGAACCCGACAGCGTCGAGACCCTGTCCTTCTGCCAGAGCACCGCCAGCATACCACAGAGCACTCCGAGGGAGCGGTTGCCTTTGTGAAGTTCTTTTAAGGTTTAGGGTTTTGGGGTTTAGGGTTTAGGCCTGGATTTAAGGAGTCTCGGGTTTAGGAGATGAGGGTTTGGGGGTTTTAGGGGGTTTGGCAGTTTGGATGGGGCTGCGGGTTTAGGGTTTGGGACTTCGGGTTTCGGGTTAGGGGTCCACGGCACGCACCCCCAACCTCGCTTGAAACTCTCCTCTTCCCTGAACCACGTGGAAGCACGCAAGCCATAGGTCACAAGCGACTGCAAGATCAGGGCTTGCTGGTAAAGGAATCCCTGCAAGCGCTGCGCACTACCTCTAACTCAGACTCAACAGACCTACTTCGGAGAAACATGAAGGTTTTTCTACACAAGGAACCTTAACCCCGCAAGCAACATCCCTAGACCCTAAACCCTAAACCCTAAACCCTAAACCCTGAACCCTAAAACTTCGGGTCCATGGGACAGACCTCGGGCCCTTTTGAGGCCCTGGCAAAAGACAAGGAAGACTGCGGAGTCGAAGACCTGCTTCCGGAATGGGAAGAGGCTGTGTTAGGGCGTAGGGCTTAGGGTTTGGGGTGTAGGGTTTAGGGTTAGTTGCTGGAGAAACTCGGTCGGCTTTCCTTATCAGGTCAAGTTGCTTTAGGGTTGAGGGTGTAGGGTGCAGCAGGCACTTAGATCTCCGATAACAAGAGGGTGCATGAAGATCTAGGGTTTTCGGTTCTCAAGGCATACAGGATCAGGTCGCGTGCATGAGTCTGCAGCTGTGCTGGCATCTATGACAAAAGAGGCTCGTGCAAAAGCGCAAATATGCCTAAGCCTAAGAAATAAAAATTCAAAAAGTGAGTGCACAGAAGGAATCGCAACACGAAAAGTAAACCCCTAAACCCTAAACCCCTTAAACCCCCAAGCTCTTGAACCCTTAACCCGGACCGTAAAACCCGTGAACCCTGGACGTTGGCATGCACGGCCGGTGCGCGCCTGGTTGTTGTAAGACTCTGTCATTATGCCTGGGCCGTGGGGTTTGCTGCAATGCAGGGCCTCGGGTTTTGGGGCATATTCCCTATTAAGTCATTGTTCAGGCCTCAGCCAAAAACATAATGTGAGTTAATGTAAGGACCTTAATAATTAGAATAGGATTTGGGGTATATTATACTATAATTCTAATAAGGAACCCCCAAAACCCTATTCTGATTGCTAAGGCCCCTACACGCCTACATTTCTTGTGGGAGAGTAAGGATCCGGGCCCCTGTATTTGGCAGGAAATTTAGGTTTGGGGCTTGGCAGATCATGTCTCAGGGCGTCGGGGTGCGAGGTCTAGGGTTGAAGAGTTAGGGTATAGGGTTTCACGGTTAAGGTTTTGGGCTTACAGTCTTTCGTTTACGGTCTATGTCACAGCTTAGGGTTTGGGTTTGAGAGTTTGGGGTTGAGGAGTTTAGGGTTTGCGGTTTGGGGTTTAGGGTTTAGGACTTGGGTCCAGAGTTTTGCGGGGGAGGGCCTTCCCATCCTGCGGGCGGAGCTTCCCCTTGCAAAAACCGGAACCTCTAACTTTGGCCCTGAAATTTAAGGTTTAGGGCTTAGGGTTGCGAAGAGGCGTGGGGCCCTTCCTCAAAGAGCGTCCGAGCCACGTTCCTGCAGCAGTCCATAGACCAGCAATGACAGAGTCACACCAACCTGGGCCACGGCGCAGACTGGGCTTAGATGGCTTCGTTGTAGCTGCCAATCAGTTGCTCCTCCGCGCTTCTAGCCCACAGGCTGCAACTGCCTAGAGTGCAACATGTTACATAAATTACACCCATCAACAGGACGTGGCCGCTTTTCGAAACTCGTCTCCTTCGACTTGTGCCCCAAACGACCATGCGGCTGTTCTCGAACATCAGAGACCGCAATGCAAGAGGGAGGATCCGAGCAGTCAACAGATCGCTGGGAAAAGAAAGTAATGTAGACCCCGGAGTAGTAAGGCCCCCTCTGTTACTAAGTAGAACGGGGAACAAAAAGATCCTAGTGTCCTAGTATTGAGGCTCGTTAAGGAAAGGTGGCCTATTGCTCAGGGGATCCTCATTCCAAAGAGTAAACGCAACCGCTGTTTACATGTGTCTTTTACTGAGCTGCCCAAGAAGGAGCAGGTCGGTTGAGGCGCATGTTAACTTGCCAACTCCAGGCGTCTGGGCTGAAGGGTATCAGGGTTTAGGCCTTTCGGTCTTTTAGGCGTACCCGTCAAGCCTAAACCCTAAACTGCCCTAAACCCTAAACCCTAACGCAGTTTCAGGTTCCGCTCGAGGCCCTAGGCTTCTTTGGGCTGAGATCCTTCGAAGACCGCGCGTCTCCCAGATGTTGGGGCTCGGGGCTTAGGGTTTCGAGAAAACTCCCTGAAAGAAGCTCGCCAAATTTTAAAAAATCTGTTGGGCTTAGGGTGTTGCGCTGCAGATATCTAGGGCGCCGGTTACTAAGTTTTCGAGGTTCTGGGCTCGACGCAGGTTCGGGTTCAGGCGCAGGGTGCCCGAGAAATCGGTTTAGGGGGGTTTAGGGTTTAGGGGGGTTTAGGGTTTGGGGTTCAGGGTTTGGTGGGGTTTCGGGGTTTAGGGTTTAGGGGGGCTTAGGGGAGTTTTGGGGTTTGGGGTTTGGGGTTTATAGGGCCTAAACTACACGGTAAGCCAGGGAGCTGCCAGAAGCACGCATCGCGAGTTGACTTTGGCACCATCCTCGCAGAATGCTCGTGGCCGGGGTAGAAGCAGCGATAAACATGACACTGAAAGGACACTTTAAAGGTGAGCTTTAAAACATATATGTAAAACCCTATGCACCGACAAAGACACTATTCATGGCCATGTACTAGAATGCTGTGAACCCACAGAAAAAACCAAACTCTCTGGAGACCCTGTTCTTGCTTTGGGTAACTTGTATAAGGGTGCCATAATATTTTGGGGACCTAAAAACACTAAACCCTAAACCCCTAAACCCTAAACCCTAAACCCTAAACCCCTAAACCCTAAACCCTAAAGTTACCTTAATTTAAAGAACTACCTATAAGAAGGCCCCTCGAAGTGGAGGCAGGCCCTGGCCTGGCAGAGCATCGTCGCCCCGGGCAGCGCGAAGCAGTTGCGGGCTTTGGCTTCGGGTTTAGGGCTTAAGGCTTAGGGCTTAGAGATTAGGGTTTAGGGTTTAGGGTTTAGGGTTTAGGGTTTAGGGATTAGGATTTAGGGTTTAGGGGTTTAGGGTGTAAGGCCCAACCCTGGATCTCAAAAAGGCCTAGAGCTCCGATCTAAAACCCTACAGTGCCCCAAACCTCAAAGAGGTGTAGAGAGCGCTAGACCCTAAACCCAAAACCCCAAAACCTTAAAGTTTAGTGCAAGGGTTTCGGGGCTCCAAGTCCAGCAAGATATTTGGGGTCGAATCGCTTCCCGGCACCTTTGACTGGGCCGGGGGCTGCTTCACTCGTAGGACTAACATAGGGGCCTTAAGAATTGCCTATACTGTTTTGGGGGCTCTTTATTAAAAATATAGCATACTATACCATAAAATACCTATTCTAGTCATTAAGGCCCCCTACATTAATGAAGCGGAGCAGTTCGGAGTGCAGCTTCCTGACAAAGAACCCCTGAACATGAAACCGTTTCTGGGCCTTGGTTTCAGGTGGCCTCAGTCTTTACGAAGAGTTTCGGTACCGAGCTCGAGCAGAGAAGTTCGCGGCAGGTCCGAAGCAAGTTCGAGGTCTAAGGGGGCAGGGTTTAGGGGCTTGGGGTTTTGGGGTGTTGGGGTTGAGGGGTTACGGGGTTAAGGGTACTTAGGGGTTTTGAGGATTACAGGTTTAGTGCCCTAAACCCTAAACCCTAAACCCTAAACCCTAGTGGCTTGTAGGGTTTAGCGTTGATAGGACTTGGTATCATGTTGGCGATTCGCAGCTCTACCTCAGCTGGCTAGAGCCCCTAACCCCCACATCCTGAACCTAGGGTTTAGGGTTTAGGGTTTAGGGTTTAGGGTTTAGGGTTTAGGGTTTAGCTAAACTCTAAACCCTAGTTCCTCAACCCTAGGCCTTAATCCGACATAATGCACTCGGTCTCGACAGCTGCGGGAATCCGGACTCGCCCCGAAACCGAACAGGATCCAAAAGAATTCCGCAGTATTTTGTGGGCTTGCCGCTTAGTGACTTAGTGCTCAGGATTTTTGGATGGAAGGTTTAGGAGGTTTAGGAGATTAGGTTTTAGGGATGTTTGGACGTGCCGATTTAGGGTTCGGGGCACGGCATTGGTCAAAAAAAGTCAGATACGCCCTATGTATTCTTCCGACTCTTTTGAATGGCGGTGAGCTGCTACAGCCTGCTACGCAGAGCTTGCGTGAGGCTCTGCATGTCAGCTTCCTGGTCACGTAGGCCGACAGGACGCAATTGCAGGTATATGGCACCACATTCGGAAGCTCAAGAGCTTCGTCATCACTTCTGACGCCCCCTACGAAAGAAGGGGACCCCTCACAGTGTAAGGTCAAGTCCAGAAACACCTTCCGGAGCGGGACGTGTCTGGGAATCATGGACCTGGCGGGGAGCATCTGCCGGCAGCCGAGGAATCTCCTCCAGAGACCATCCCCTCCAAACAAATCGCAGCGGCAGGAAGCTACACGGCCTGGGGCTTAGCCTCCACCGCATGCTTTTGTATCTCCTCCCACAAACCCGGATCCACGAAGGTCGGGTGGACCACCAGTAGGTTTCCATCCACGAAGGCCTCGGGTCGCCAGCACACCCATCGGAAGAACTCGGGCTCCACATGCAGCAAGATGAGCTTCTTCCTGGCTTCTGTTTCTTGGCGGGGGGTCTAATGGAGTCACTATAAAGGGCAACGTCTGGGATTCTATAAGGACTTTCTAGTCAAAGAGAGCAAAAAGTTACTCACTCAACGACCAAGCTTCGCATCCTGCCCCCCATCGCCCCCCATCAAGTAGAGAGCATACCCCAAAGCCTTCAAGTACATTGCAATGCCGTATTGCCCCCACTGGCCCGTGTCGTGCCGACTGTCGGACCATGTGCCACCCAGCTCATACTGGAAGAGTGGAAACATCTGCCTGTTTGTCTCCAGCCCCATGCCTCGAATCACATTGGGCTCTTTGCCTTCTACATCGATCAGGACATAGTTCACCTCGTCTTCAAGCACCATAGCCGCGAGCAGCGACGAAACCCAGCAAGATCTAATCATCAACACATGTAATCTCAAACCTGGACAGACGAAACCCCTAAAGCCCCTTGGCACTTGCAAAAAATCCCAAGCCCCTTGGCACCATCGATGTCCCATTGCTGGCCTGGCTCTTAAGTCCCAGTTCCAGGAGAAGGCCGGCTAAGGTGACCGTTTCCACTGTCTCCTGGGTTTAGGGCTTAGGGTTTAGGGTTTAGGGTTTAGGGTTTAGGGTTCAGGATTTAGGAATTTAGGGTTTGGGAGGTTAGTGTCTTTGTGTTTCGTCTTCGGGGTTCAAAGTCTCGCGGCTCCCTGCGGTCCCTCTGGAACCATCAAGGCACCCATCGAGGTGATCTAGAACACCTAGACATTTCTAAACCCCAAGCCCCAGTAACCTAAACCCTAAACCCTAAACCCCAAGTCCCCACTAACCCGCAGCAGTCGGATCGTCTTCTAGGGTTCAAAGATCAGGCTACTAAACCCTCAACCCTCAACCATAAGCCCCAAATGCCAAACCCTACCAACCCTAAACCTTGAATCCTAAACCCTAAACTCCGAGCTCCAAGCCCCAAGTCCCCCACTCCGAACCCTAAACCCTAAACCCTAAACCCGAAACCCTAAACCCTAAACCCTAAACCCGAAACCTAAACCCTCTAAACCCTCTTCACCGTCTCCTCGAGCTGCGGGGCGTTCCGCCAGCGACCCGTCGCCTCGTACAATCCTGCCAACTCCACACCTGCCAATGCAGAGGGTTTACAGGGGTTTAGGGTTTAGGGTTTAGGGTTTTAGGGTTTTGGGTTTAGGGTTTAGGGTTTCGAGTTTTAGGGTTTGGGGTTTAGGGTTTAGGGTTTGGGTTTTAGGGTTCAGGGTCGATAGAAATGGTCAAGGGTGTGGGTGCCGAGAAGTTTTGGGCGCCGAGAAGTTTTGGGCGAAGCTTCTCTTTTGCACCTTCCATGCTGGGGCTTGGGGGCTGCTGTTGCACCTTGCATTCCATGTTTCTGGGGCTAAGGGCTAGGGGGCTGACCTGGTTTCGCTGAGTGCTCGTCTTCGGAGTCGAAATCATAAGGATACATTTCGTTATCGACGGTGTGTCGGGCCCAGGGATATTTTGTTTGCTTTCTGGTGCGTCTTGGTTTGTTTGGACAGGCGGCGCAAACATCCAACTTTCAGGGTTTAGGGTCTTTCAGGGTGAAGGGGAGGCATGTGGGGCAGCGTAGGATTCCGGGCTCCAGGGCTTTAGGGGCTTGCAGGTTTTGGTGGGACTTAGGCTTCAGCGCTGTGACCAAGCGGTCTATAGAACCCTGTTTACACCTACACAACCCTACCAAAGACCTGAAAACACCCTCAAAAACGGTTTTTCATGCCTTAGGCCGATCTGTCTCACAGTCTGAGCAACCGCGGCTTCAAGCGAGAGGCCTTCTGCAGGAGCTGTGATGCGAAAAGTCTGCACCTTGTCCTGGGTTCTTGTAGGGTTCATACAAGGGCTTTAAAACGGGTTGCTTTTGTAAGTTTCTTGTAGAACTCCATTGCTTGACTTTTGGTAATAGTCTGTGTAGTTGTTATACCTCTATTACATAAACTCAAAGGCAAATTCCTCCAACAGGAGCCAGGTATCCGACCACCCCCTCCTGTGCACAGTGACCCAAGGCGAATCTTTGAAGCGCTTTTGTTGCTGCTCAAAAAGCTTCGGCACAATCTCGAAGATGTGCATTCGAGCTCTGGGGCATGCAGAAAGTACGTTGCTGGTGGACTGGCCTTTATTGGCGCCTGCCAGAAGCACCAAGGCGTTACGAGGCCCGTCTCCACATCGATCTTGCTTGGCGTACCAGCTCATGATAAGGTGGGATGTGGTGAAGTCCGCCTTGTTTCCAAACTTCTCCTCGGCTTCAAACAGCACAAAGAGGGAATAGGACGCCGGAGTCCAGAGCAAGTACTTTCAAACTACACGCCTGACAAAAAGAACGGCTTCAGGACCAGCAGACAAACTGAACCCTAAACCCTAAACCCTAACCCTAAACCAATAAAGCCTCCTGAAGCATGGTACATCTAAGACCGTTGTGAGACCTTTGGAGGAACCTCTGGAGCACTTAAGGGCCCCAACACTGCCTAAGTGCCCCTAAACTCAAGCCTCAGTCAAATCCTAAGCCCTAAAACCTAGACCCCAAACCAAAAACTCAAACCACAGTCCTTGTTCTGGCGGTAGTAATTTGCTTGACCGATGGACTGACCCGACCATACCTGGTGCACCGTCAGGGCCTCCAGGGTTGGGATTTAAGGGTTTGGGATGTCGGGCTTCGGGTTTAGGGTTTAGGGCTTTCGGGTTGAGGCTTTAGGGCTTTCGGGTTGAGGCTTTAGGGCTTAGGGTTGAGGGTTTAGGGGTTAGGGTTCAGGGCTTACGGTTTAAGCTTAGGGTTGAAGATCCCGGCTCAGGTCCTCCAGCTGCTCAATATATCCATCCAGGCTTCCCAGGGACGCCCCGGTTGTCGCGGACATCCCCCATGTCCTTACATTGAAGGATGCTGTAGGGGTGGCGGCTGGAGGGTTAGGGTTTCAGGTTGGAACAAAGGAGGCTTCATCAACCAACACGAAAATTGCCTGCCTCCTGCTTGTAATTGTTAATGGTATGGCAATCAGTCCAAGGTTGTTGGTGCATCTGCGATCCTCGAAAGACTCAATATACGTACAATCTCTTTTTGATCGCAAAGCACACATTCCTCAAAGTACCATTAGTCTTCCTCGGCCTGATTCCCAAACAACTTTCCCAAAGCCAAGTTGAATCGACAAAGTTAACAGACAAACTTTACCTCAAAGGGAGGGCACAGGATATGCTATGGTTCTGGACATTACTGCCGACAACCATTCCGTTTTGAAAATCCAAGTCCTTGCAACAAGGGCTTCGGCAATCTTTTCACGAAGTCTGAGGTCTGTATCTGTCCAAGGGGCACCGGCGTCGGCGTAGTAGAAACGCCCACGACATCCGCTTCTTGGGTTGCATTTGCGAGGCCCCAGAAGGATCGCCCCGATTGGGTTGAGGAGCCTCGGGATGTTAACAATAAAACCCCCTGATAGTTCCTCTGAAGTTTCAGGGCTGAAGGTCCAGGAGTCTAGGACCTAACAAAAGATAACAATAACAGTAACAACAACAGTGATAATTATGATCAATATATCAGTAGTATAAATATTTGTAGCATTAAATAACAATAGTCATATTCATAGTAAAGTAAGATAACAGAAAAAATTTGGGCTGTGAATCCTAACCAACAAACTCTACGACCCGCGGCCCCGAACCTTGAATGATGTTTCACGCCCGAAACCCCCAAACCGATAAACGCCTTTTGGCACAAGGAAGGTGTTCCAGGCGATCGTGGAGACTGTGACCCCAGCGCAGAACGTCAGGAGTTCTCGAAGCGGCATCATCGCATCAGCTGTTTTGTGAGGTTTCGACGGGCTTTCATAAGGCCTTGTAAGGGCTTATAAGGGTGTACAAAGGTTTTTCGGTTTGAATGGTTATCGCAGCTTGCGACAAAAACTTCACGGACTGTTGCTGTTCTGATTTGCCTTCTTCATAACATTCTCATGACTTTGCCACATGTTGTCATCCAACCGGATTTTGAGCATTCCCAAAACTTACTCCCCAAGAACCACTCCTGGTTGTAGAACCGGGTGCAAGCACTCTGTCAAAAGCTCACACACACAGTCCATGAACTTTGCCGGTTGGACGAGAAGGCACATGATTGAACCGCATGCATCATTTCATGTTGCCTGCTTGGCACGCGGAACGTACGTTGCAAAGTCGAACCTGGGCGGTGTTGCCGGGCGCACTGTCCAAGCTTTCCAAAGCACACATGTCCTACCCAAACCAGCGCTTTAGCCGGAAAAGTCGTACATGGAAATGCAGAAGCTGCATGCGAGGGCTTTTCTTCAGAGGAGGGCTTCGGAAACTCACGAAACTTCTCTAGCCGCCAACTTCGTCTACAAAAATGGGACCTCTCCGCCTGTTCTCAAACCAAACTGGCCGTGCAACGGCTAAATTCTTCAAGTTCGGTTCCTACAAAACAAGCAAACAAATACACAAAGCAGCGGTGAAAACCAGGAGCCTGTTCGCAAAACCACCACAAAGCCTGCCGGGTGCACAGTGCAAGTTAGCAATTGCCTTTGCCTTCTTTAAAGGTCGGATTTTGGGGTTGTAGGCAAATTTGACAAGTGTTGTGTGGTCAAGTTCTGAAGCAGCTGAGCCGGACTTAATACTGCACTGGAAATGCAAGAAGTAGTTTCTTATCATCGCTTGCATGGTCCTCGAAACAGTTTTTTCTCTGCATGTGACCTTCAATTGAACGCATGTGCCCTGCTCACAATTTTAACATCTTTAAGAGGATGATCATAAATTTTTAGTGCCAAGACACCATGTCCACGTCCACTGGGCCTCCATTACAAATGTCCGACCGACTCAGGGAAGCCTATATGTTTTGGGCACAACCTACACAAACCTTTTAAATTGTACAATCGAAAATTTCCACAAGAATCACAGGCAAAACGAACACTGGAAGTTTCGACATAGAACCTTTCGAACATGGCAAAGGCCGACAGAAGGGTGCAAAGCGAAGCAACATCCGGTCATGAAGTTTTTCCAACTGCAGGTCAAGCTTTTTGGTAAGGCAGACAAGAAGCAAGAGCTCAAAGTAGAAGCTTCAGAAGCAAACAAGAGCTGAGAAGGAGGAGAAGCCGGATGAGAAGGTGCTTAAAGAGCAAGATTTGCTTTCCTTCCAGAATTTTCGGCATCCATTCCGCTTTCTAGGAAGGGTGTTCCAGCTCCACTCTTTAGGCTACGAGGCTGGTTTTGAGACACAGTGGGGGAACACTGATGTGTTCATGCTTTCCGTTTTGCTTGCAACCCTGGGCTCGTGCGACGATACAAGTTTCAGCATTGTTTGCCCCATGCCTCTCTCTGGGGAGGGTGTTGTCACTCCCACTTTGTGGTCGCTACAGGCCTTGTTTCAGACCTAGGTCAGAATTCTGTCATTTGAGGGTCTGCCGATTTTGAAGGCTGGAGGCCGCAGGGCCTGCAATCGTAGGGGCTCTAAAGTGCTTGCAAAACGCCCGCAAGTTGCTCCAAAGGCACCCTGAGGACCCGCG